GCCGCAACCAAAAGAGGGAGACACAACCTACACGCGCAACTGCTCGCTCCACATAGCAAACAGCCTTTGTTTGCGCGACACTTGTTATCGTTAAGGCGCGTGTATGTGTGGGTGGGCCCGAGTGTGTGTGTGTGTGCAACCGCAGCGAACATTTGCAGCCGCGTGTACAACGTGTCGTATGCGCACTTGAGCGGCGGCATTTGCTCAACGCTTTGGCCGCATTTTAGGCGATACGTTTTATGTCTTCCGGCAACAAAAGCAGCTAACATGTATGTGCGCCAATGTGTGCGTGTGTGTGTGGGTGTGTGTGCAACGATGACTGTCATTATTTAGCAATTTAAACGATTTGGCCGGGGCGTCAACTATTTACAACTCATTTGCCCGCAGCTGCAGTCAGGTCCTTTGGTAATTGCAGCAGCATCAACAACAGCAACAATATGCGAGGCAGGTGCAGCAGACTGAGCCTGACGCTGTCCATAATGGCCAGCAAACAAGTCAACACACACACACACACACACACACACTGTGCAAATATGCATATAGCGCACACACAGTCAATTAAATTTTCAACTGGGCATCAAGTGTTAAAGCCCTGAAAAGGCTGATTGGGGCAGCATTTAGGCATGGGCCTGCATGCTGTCGTCTTTGTTGTTGTTGCTATTGTTGCTGCTCAGTCTGTCGGCATTTATTTTTGACGGGCTTTAAACTATACGCCAACGAAATTTGATTAAATTTTGTGCTGCACTCGAATACAATTTGTAATTCAAATTAAAAGCGCAAATAGTTGATTTTTTTTTTGTTTTTGCTGCTGCTGCAAAGGCAGGCAACAAAAGGCATACCAAATTACTGCTGAAGCAAGGGCAACAAACAGCGGCAGCAGTAGGAAATGAAATGAAACGCAGTCAGTGGAAATGATGGCCAGAGATGCTGCTGCTGCTGCTGCTGCCAAGCAACTCAACTCAACTCAGCTCAAAACCCGAAAAACAAAAAAAACACAAACCAAAGAAAAAATAAAAATGCCGCCGCATTTGAATGCTGCGTGGCAGCAACAATGTTGCATACCACTTGGGCACTTTGTTAGCAGCCAGCAGCAGTCAGCAACAGTCATATTGCGGCCACACACACTTACACCTACACTTGTGTGAAAAGTAAAAGCCATGCAGGCATTTGGCCCAACCACATACCGCTGAGCAAAGTGCCGGAACGCCATTCTTTAATGATGATCACGTACACGTGTCCTGACGCAGAAAAAAAGGAAGAATATGCCAGGAAAAGGCATGTAGCTAAATGTGTTTGCTCAAAGCCCAAGCAGCAAGCGACAATATCGGCAACTCTTCAATAAAATTAGATTATTATATTATATGTAAATTGCATTTGTAAGGAATTTCTTTAAAGTTGTTAAGCCCAAGAAGGGCTTAGCTATGTTAAATACATCAAACATTTGCCAGGATATGCAGCAGTTCAATTTTTAGACGGCAACATACGTCAGACTATAAACTGCTTCTGTTATCAAATGTCCAGTAACTAAATCGGTATATTCACTGCCTTTATTGACTGTCTTTAAAGCTAGCAAAAGTTTATAATAGTAATCGTGCGGGTCATCCGAATGGGGCCCTTTCCTGATCTGCCTACATGTTGAATATTTTCTATGCAAAGTTTTTTTTTATTCGATTTGATTTTATTCTGCTGAAAATAATTTTAAATTAGCTACTAAAACATTAAAAAAATTTTTTTTTTAAAAAAATGTGGAAAAAAAAAATATTTTTAAAAATTGACAAGCCGAAATATTTTTCAAAGTAACTACGAATATAAAGAATATGAATATAAAGAAAGCTTGCAATATATTTCAGACAAAATATAAGAAATCAAATCAAAATGTTGTCAAAAATAAATCAGTATAAGATATATAGAAAACAACAAAAAATAAATGATAAATAATACACTTCATCAAAGGTTTGGCATATTTATATAGCTGTTGACTTACAACACAATTTATTCATCTAAACATTTTCCACAAATATTCAATTCGAGTAGAGTATTAACTTTTTATTTGCTTTAGCTAAAATATATATGGAACGTATAAAATGTTTAGATACAAACTGAAAAAGTAAGCAGAGCGCAGTTTTTGCATATATAGTAGAGCCACATTGTCTATGGAGGTGTTTTGGCAACACAACAGCAACAGTCAATTTCACACACTCACACGCGTACAAAGGCAAAAAAGGGGTGAAAAGTAAAAGCCATGCCAGGCGTTTGGCATGAAAATATTTTAAAATTCTGGCAACGAAAGTGCAGACAAAACTCTTAAATGACGAGCAGCACGTGCCCAAATAAATGGGGAAGCAGCATAGTTTGATGTGGCAACGCTGCTCATCTAACACTCACACACACACACACACTTCACAGAGCCAGGCATACGCATACGTGAAATTGCACAAGTGGCAATATATACACGTATGTATTTTGAATGCTGCCTGCCACCACAGAATAGCGAACAGCGAGCCCATTCACATGCGCTGGCAACTCAATTTCGCACAGTGTCCCAGGGTGGGGCACAAGCGGCAACTGGGGTGTAGTCATTTTTGGAGGCTTTTGTCCTAGCTGCGGAATGAAGTCTGGCTGCGTCTTGTCTATTGCTGACTTTCCGATTCCAATGTGTCAAATTGTTGCAGCAGCAGATTGCGCTGTCTGCAAGTAGCTCAGCAGCACGTCAGACAGCAGATAAGGAAATGGAGATAAAGCGCGAAAGGGATGCGGTGACGGAAGGGAGACAGAGAGGGAGCAAGTTGGAGACGCTGTTTTACTTATGCAGATGTGACAAGTGCATAAGCCAGCGCATGGAAAATGGCTTATTTATATTGATATATTGCACAAAATCAATGCCATATGGCATTTAACGATTCACTGAGTAGCATAAACAAGAAATAATTGAAATTTCAATGAAAATAAACGACGTTAAAATACGCTTTATTGCAAGCAGATAAAAATATGTACTTAAATCTGTCATTTCCTTTTCTACAAATTTCCTAAAATAAGCCAGACCTTGTTTGCTGCTTAATGTTCTTGAAAAATACCAAAAGTGATCGAAACGAAATGCGTACTTGGTATTTTCTGCAGCTTACAACACTTACACAGCAGCTTGCGCACGCTAAATTATAAATAGCAAACAGCTAAGTGACCTTTAACAGCGACAGCATCCATTGCGTAATCGAAACCTTGTTGTGGCCTTAATGGCTCACTCCTTTGGACAAGTCAACTGCAGAGTGCAGCCATTCTATTGTATATGTTCTGTATATCCTTTGCACAACAATAACAATAGTATTTCAATTCTGCAAGCTCCCACACACACATGCACGCACATGTTTGGTATTTTTTTTTTCAGTTATTTGAAAAGTGTTGTACAACTTGATATTTTTGTAGTGAGAGTGTATTACGTTCCGAGTATGACAATAAACGGCAGATAATTAAAGCTCAACAATAATATTAAATTTATGCACTCGATTTTACTTTTTCGCCCCTTTTTTTGGTTTCACGTGAAATTTGCATAAAATCAACATTGGCATTTACGAATGAAATGTATTGTATTTATGTTTAAAAAAAATATATAAGAAAAAATACAACTTTTTGCAGTCAATAATCAATCAAACGTGAAATAAATGGAAAAAAAAAATTTATATATATACGTATATGTATGTATAGAGTAATGCAAAATGAATTGTTACTGCAGCAACTGCTGCTGCCGCTGTTGCTGCTGCTGCTGCTGCTGCTGTTACTGTTGCTGCTGCCTTAATCGAAATGTTTTTTGCTTGATTATTTAGTTTTTTTCTTTCTTTCTGTATTTGGCTTGCTCTGCTCTGGTTGGTTGGTCTTTAATACGACTTCCTGTGCCATTAAATTTTAGCATAACAAACAAAATACTTTTCGAGTGTTTCCGTTTGCTTGTTTCGGTGACATTTCGGCGGCAACCGGCGGCAATCCAGCAAAACGAGCTCCACAAAGCTAAAAGTGCAGTAAAAAATTTGTTGAAATATGCGACCGTCCGTTAGGCAACAAAAATTGCACGAGCTTTTATTTGCACTTCAATTTTGCCCTCGACGCTGCCAGCAGTTGCCACAGAGAGTGAGAGAGAGAGAGCGAGTGGGGCGGGGGCATGTCTCACCCACTCCCACTCTCTCGCTCTTCCTCTCTCTTTATGGCAGTTGCAATTGCAATTCCCCTCCGTTGCAGTTTGTTAACTGCAGTGCAATGCATTCGCGCTAACTGCGGACAAGGGATTGCATAGCTGCCGTAGAGCCAGGACGGACCCAAGAACCCAATGACCGAAACGTTAGCAAAGTCCCAAGACAAGTGCTGCTAGCAGCTATTTTATTTTTGAATGTCCTTTGCTGCTTATCAGCGCTGAAAATCAGGAGACAGAGAACTCTGCCCAAAAAATATATACACATAGATATATATAAAAGTGAGTGTGCCGCGACTTCGGACCGGCCAGCAGGATACAGTCGGCGAGAGTGCAGCACAAAAAGCTGCAGGTGAAATGCAAGGAAACGAGCCAAATAAAATCATGTGACACTTTGTGGTTAATAATGTTGTGTGTACGTCCGATCCGCCGGTGTCTTCAGCCCAGCGAGCCCCATTGTTTCGTTTACGCTTGCCCCAAAAAGGAGCTGCTCCCCCGCCCCCACCTACTCAGAAAATAAATATGAAAAAGCGGGACAAGCGGGGCATCGTTGCTAGCGACGGTGATTTAAATGCAAATTTATTATCATGCAGCTCGCAAAAATGATATAAAAAAACCACAAGCCAAAAACCCAAGCAAACACACACACACACACATCGCACACACCCACAAAATAGTATAAATAAATGGCAAAAAAGAATGTTGTAATAATATTTACAAAATGTCTGCTTGGCCTTTTTTACATGTTTTATTATTTTATATATTTTGATTTTCATATTTTCATTTAATGGGCACATTTTAATTTTTTCATTTGCATTTTCATTTTGATTAAACGATTTCCATATATATACATATAGACACACACATATATATATATGCCTTTTATATCATCATTAGTACATCATCTTGCTGCAAGTTAGTAAGATTAATTAGCTAATTGGCTTCGTTATTCGTCTTCTTCTTCGTCCTCTTTGAACAGATATCGAACCACGTCTGTGAATAGTATAATGTTGCGCTGCCTGGCAGCCATCATTCGATAGGCCACGCACATGTAGTACCAGACCAGGGAGAGCAGCAGCACCACTAGGCAGGCACACGAGTAGAGCTCCACAATCTTGTCCCAGCTGAGCGCCAGCCTGTAGACACGTCGGCGCACCTTGCCGACGACTATGCCAAGCGCTGCACCCAATTCAGGCAGGCATATGCAGATGCTGCGGTACCAATCGCTCAGCTGCTCTAACATCTTTAGTTATTGTCAAATTCAATTTTTTAAACAACTTTTAAAAGTTATAAAATGATAGCAGAACTTCTCAGACATCAAAGAGACTGACATTCATAGCCGAGCTAACGAGATTCATTTGCTCAAAAATTTGTTCTCAATATTTTCTAAGTCGATTCATACGACAATATCTATATATCTGAAGTGTGAGCATAGATAGAAGTTAAGATGCTTACCTTCTAGGCCATATGTTCAGCTCTAGATTGATTCTTCATTCCCAGACTAAAATTGATAATGATTTAGCTTCTACTTTGATTCTGCTTTCCCAGTTTAAAATGACATTTTCTTGTCTCGAAGCTTACCCAGACTTGAGCTAGCCACAACCTCGTTTGATTAGCTTTTATGTCACCTATTTTATTAAGCTTGATTCTGTGAACAGTTTCGAATTGGTTTAGATTGCAAATCAAATCAGACCTTACTGACAAATAGTCTGGCTCTAATCTGTGTGCCACAGCGTTGCAGATTTTCATCAATTTTTTGTGCCAACCCGTTAAACATTTTTCAAATAAATAATATTTGCAATAATGTGCCATCGATGGCATACATCAAAATTAGTCTAAAGTATGCCAATAGCTAACGTACGGCATATTTGCTTTGGAGCTGCTGTTATTGGAGTCTGAGTTTGAGGCCAGGCGAGGCCATGGCAGTCGCATTCATATCGTTAGTCATGCGCTTTATGTGTGCACATCGTTGTAAATTCTGGGCCGTATTCCGGCTGCTATCCTGGCCTTATCTTTGTGGCCGAACTGTTGTTTAAGTTTGCCATTTTTCAACAACTCATCAATCTGTGCTCGATGCCATTGCCTAAGTTGGGCCTCTGAGGCTGGATGGCTGGCTGGCTGGTTGGGGAGGAGATGGGATTCAATAGCGAAACTAACTTATGCGAGGCACGCACTCGCCGCAAATGCAGCACAGCAGAGCATCAGTCTTCGTCTGCAGCACCCTGGGCAGGCAGAGACGAGTCTGCTAAGCGTATGTTGTTCAAATATGGCAACGTTTTTCCTGATTTTCCTTCTGCAGTTTCCGACTGCGTTTGCCCTGCGCTGCGAAGTTTCGCTCAAGTCACAAAGCGTCGGCTGTCGCCAAACTTTTTTATTATGTATTTCTCTATACTTTTATTATTCATCTATCATCGTTGTTATAGTTTAATAGAAAGTTTAAAAGTCATCATCTAGCCAGCGCCAATGACTTGCCATATGGAGCGCGCACATGACACGCCCATAACTCACAATGACAGTTAAGTTGGGTAACGCCCAGCCCGTGCCAGTTCCAGTCAACCTTTGACCCGGCCCGGAGGCATTTTGCAGTCCGTTAACGGTCCAGCTGGCGGGTAGCCAACAAACGTCGAGTCCTTTGCTTTTAGATAAACAATGCAATTTACGATGAGTGTGCGGCGAACGGATGTTTCATTAGCATTGAAGATGTCCTCTATTTGAGGTGCCACCCACAGGCCTCGCACCAAGTCGTTAGTGTTAATTAACTTGGCGCCGAGTCAAGTGGCAAAAAGTGCATAAGCCATGAAGTTGTTGCAGCCTGCAAATGGAGATGAAGTTGCCCAAGACTGTGCGAGAGAGAGAGAGGGAGAGTAAGAGAGTAAGGGAAAGGAAGCCCCAATACCCCCCATGTCGCAGTCAACAGGAACCTCCGTTCATTTGCAACAACATGTCGCAACATAACTTTGGCCGCAAAATTCAATAAAAATGCGTTGCAAGCAACCATGAGACGTTTATAGCCGCATCGGCCACGCATGCAAAAGCCAAAACAACCGCAAAGTGTTTCTAATAAATTGTGTAGCAACAACTTTGGCTACAACTACAACAAGTGTTTAAATTTATCGCAGCTGCGATTTGCACGCCCCCGTTGCAAGCATCTCTCTCTCTCTCTCTCACACACGCTCACACTTGACTGTTGGTGTTTGTGTGCGTGTGTGCATATGCCATAAACAAGTGTAAAAATCATGATAAAAATGGCAAAAGACCTTCTCAAATACCCTGTAATATTTGCTTATACTTGCAATTGCTTAGTGCTGATTGTAGTTTGTTGTTTGAAGAAAGCTTCTGGAAGCTGATTAATCCGCTTAACTAATTAAATATTGATTTATATTTTCGGAAAAAAAGACAATACTACCTTTTTTAGCTTGTTTTCCTGAAAAGCTCATTAAAGCTTTCTGCGTGCTTAATATTTTTAGAATATTAAAAGCTTCGACAATACTACCTTTTTAGCTTGTTTTGCTGAAAAGCTCATTAAAGCTTTCTGCGTGCTTAATATTTTTAGAATTGTAAAGGTTCGACAATACTACCTTTTTTAGCTTGTTTTCCTGAAAAGCTCATTAAAGCTTTCTGCGTGCTTAATATTTTTAGAATATTAAAAGCTTCGACAATACTACCTTTTTAGCTTGTTTTGCTGAAAAGCTCATTAAAGCTTTCTGCGTGCTTAATATTTTTAGAATTTTAAAGGTTCGACAATACTACCTTTTTTAGCTTGTTTTCCTGAAAAGCTCATTAAAGCTTTCTGCGTGCTTAATATTTTTAGAATATTAAAAGCTTCGAAAATACTACCTTTTTAGCTTGTTTTGCTGAAAAGCTCATTAAAGCTTTCTGCGTGCTTAATATTTTTAGAATATTAAAAGCTCTGCCAATAATAAGTTTTTGCCCCTGTCAGGCTGTTGTTAACTTCAAATCTTTGTGTAGCTTTTTGTTTCACGAACAATTTCACAATATTAAAAGCGCTATGCTTCTTTGAACTTTTGACTATAATTAAATTCTATAAAAAATAAATAATCCAAAAGAAAGTCTATAAACAACTTGGTAAGCTCATGTATAGGCCTTAATCTTGAAGTCTATGAACTCATTGAGCTTAAAGCTCGCACTATTTATAACAATGTTACACATGTTTGTAAGCCAACAACAAATTTCTTCAATTTTTCAAAGTTAGTCAAAATCAAAATCGTATAAAAAGAGCAATTTTATATTAACTTGAAGTTCTCTTCTCACCACCCATAGACCCTGCTCTACAGCTGTGCTGCATGCTGAAGCTCTATGCTAATATACCTTGGCTAAATTTTAACATTTTAAGCTAACAGAGCTCAACAATATTTTACATGAGCCAAGCCTGAGGGCGCTGGCCATGGCTGTTGCTGACTAAATAACAGCAACAACAGCGACAGCGACAACAACAACAGTTGCCACCAGCAGCAGCCACAGCAGCAACAGCTAAATCAACAACAGCAACGCAAGCCACCAAGAGCAATTATGATATCGGCCATGATTTTGTGGGCAATTGGCTTTAATGGCTGTCGGGGCCAACAAAGACGACTGTGAGTAAAATTTATTTAAACGCTGCCAAATGGCGAAAGTCTGTCAATCGGCGGCAACTGTCGCATCCGCTACACCAGGCAGGCTATTTAAATGTAGAGCCCCGCGACTAAATGCGCTGGGCACTTGCCAGCTGGAAGAGCTAGGGAAAGAGAGAGACAGTGAGAGAGAAGGAGAGAGAGAGCGGTAAACCGCACGGGAACAAAATCGAGCCAAGTTTCGAGCTCAACCTCAACCCTCTTCTATTCCAGCAACTCTTCGTAGGAGTACAATTTATTTTTATATTGCTTATATGATAATCGTTTTGCATTAAAAACCTTCGTCTAGCCCCATTTTCCATTTTCAGATCCATTTCCGCTTTGCCTTTTGCCGTTGCCAAAAAAGAAAAAAAAAAACGAGGAAAAACAGAAAAAATTTTGGTGTTTGCCCGTATTTATTTAGTATTCAAAGTGTTATCGGCAAAGTCAGAGGCTGGCAGCCAAAACCCCAAAGGATTAGTTATGATAAATGTGTTTTATAAGCGTGACACAGACACACAGAGAGAGGGAGAGGGGCAGAGTGAGGCGTCCTGCGACTGGGGTCCTGTTCCATTTAATGCACAGATAATGAGTTCCTTTGTTGGCAATATGTCAAATCGCTTGCCCAATATTTTAGCCTCGAATGCAAAATGAAAATAGGAAAATGCCAAAGGATTCTCATTCGGCTTTTGGTATATGCTCTTTACCCTCTCTCACCCCCGCCCCCTCTCTATCTACCCCGGCATATTGTGTCGGCGCGTCGAATCGTGTTAATTAAGCATCCGAAATACCCACTCGAAACAGCATGCGAGATTAGAGCCTGCGACATAAATCAAGCAAACTGTTTGGGCACCCACAACTGAAGCGACAAACCTTAAGACCACTCACTAATCAATTCAAAAGCTTTTCAATTAATTCACAATTTGGCACTTGAGCCAGGCATGTGGGAGCGTGGGCAGCAGGCGCTTAAGCTGAAGTTTTACAGCAATTTAAAGCACTCAAATATGTCTTCATGTAATTCTTATGCTTATATTACGACTATACTTCGATAAGTATATTCGAGAGCTTCATTTGCATCTGCCCAACTAAAAAATACTCTGCACTGAGTAGGCACTGAAACTTAAGCCTGAATTTGTAGTCTTTTCTACCTTTCTTTTTCTGTCTTTCTGATTCCATGTCTCTCCCTCTTTCTGCATTTGTTAAACTAACTTTTTCATCTCCACATGTCTCCACACCTCTCAGTCTCTCGCTCTCCCGCTGTGTGTCTTTTTCTCTAACAGTCACTCTCTCTTTCTCTTTCTTTTTTTCTTTTTCCTTATATTTCTTTCTTTCCTTATTGCTGCCTTCATATCTTTTCGTCTCTGTTTACATATATCTTACTTTTCTTATCTTCTTCTCTCCTTATCGTTGTAGCTGTAACTTCCTTCCTTTCTATCGCACTCACCGTTTTTGATTCTCTCTCAGCCTCTCTGTCCATTCTCTCTTTTTTAATCTCTATCTCTTTCCTTTTCTCTTTTCCTTTCTCTCCCTCTTTTTTTATCCTTCAGTTCTTCTGTCTCTTTTTTTCTGTGTCTCTCTTTTCTCCATTTGCTCTCCCTGTTCTCTCCATATCCCTGTCGTTTTCACTCGCACTGTCATTATCTGTCTCTTTTGCTCTCTCGCTCTGTATCCTCTATCCATCTCTCACTCTCTCTCTCTCTC